TCGACGGCTGAAGGCTTGACGGCTGAAGGCTGGACGGCTGGAGACTCGACATCTGAAGGCTGGACGGCTGAAGGCTCGACGACTGAAGGCTGGACGGCTGAAGGCTCGACGACTGAAGGCTCGACGGCTGAAGGCTGGACGGCTGAAGGCTCGACGACTGAAGGCTGGACGGCTGAAGGCTCGACGACTGAAGGCTGGACAGCTGAAGGCTCGACAGCTGAAGGCTGGACGGCTGAAGGCTCGACGACTGAAGGCTGGACAGCTGAAGGCTCGACAGCTGGAGACTCGACATCTGAAGGCTCGACAAATGAAGGCTCGACAGCTGAAGGCTCGCCAGCTGGAGACTCGACATCTGAAGGCTCGACAAATGAAGGCTCGACAAATGAAGGCTCGCCAGCTGGAGACTCGACATCTGAAGGCTCGACAAATGAAGGCTCGACAGCTAAAGGCTCACCAGCTGGAGACTCGACATCTGAAGGCTCGACAAATGAAGGCTTGCCAGCTGAAGGCTCACCAGGTGGAGACTCTGGCTTGCTAGAACTGCGCAAGCTTGAAGCCCTGGGACTTGCGGAGGGCTAAGGGACCTTGTCGCTGGAATCGGATGTGGCATGGGGAGCCTTCTTTGGTCCGGAATCGACGGAAGCACAGAGAGGCGTAATGCGTCCGGAGTCAACGGAAGCACAGAGAGGCATCATGGGGCCATTACTGACGGAGGCACAGAGAGGCAAGACACTATTGACCCTAACTTAGAGAATTGGTGTCTCACAGCATTAACAGCACCAGAAAAAAGCCTTGAAACAAGGCTGCCTCTCTTTTTCTGGAGCTTTTTTAGGTGACTTTCTAGACGCGACACAATCGCATCGTTGACCTCCTTGTTCTGCATGAAGGACAGCGTCCATCCAGCAGAACACCCGAAGGTTTTAGTGATCTCACTAAAAACCCTTTTGCTCAGGGCAGGAATCCATTTCTGCTGGATTTTGTATCGCCGTCCCTCAATTTCAGCCCAAATTTGATCAACAATGCGATCATGCGTCTCTCTCAGGCAGTTAAGACACCAATGTGCCTTAGACTTCCTGAGTCCTCGAGACATCAACAACTGTACAAAAAGTCGGACCGCGTCTTTTCGCTCTTCCTCAAGTGATTTTCTCATTGTTCTCAGTTCCTGGACGAACCAGATGACAGGATTCACCAGAGAACTGAATTCTAACCCCACCTTGAGCCACTCGGTGGGGTCCTGGTCATCTGAGGGAGCTGTCAACATCGATATAACATGCGTTATAAAAAGCATGTTAAATACCTCTGTGCACTCGTCTTTTATAGTCTCCTGAATGCCCATGGCCTGGGCGAAGGCCTGAGAAACTATATTCTCAAATGCGGCTTTCAAGTCCTGATATGTGAACCCCCGGTTCTCAACCAGGTCTGAAACCACATCTGAAAAGACGTCCGTCAGATATTTCAAGAGAAGTTTGGTGTTCTCTCTGATGCCCTCATATCCCAATGTCAAATCCTCCCAATCTTCCTCCGGGATTTGTTAGTAGTATTCCTCAATCGTGGGAATTGCAAGGTCGTCCACTAAGACCTGGAGTTCTCTTCTTATTGAATTCATTGGAGCCATTTTACTAGATTAAATGCAGATCCTCCTCTCCTCGAACTGACTTGGAATGAGGTAGAATTTTACCAACAGGAGTTATATACGTGTTACACAACAAAGCGCTGGTGACATCACAAACTATGACGTATCAGCATAGGAATACATGCAGAGCTATGACGTAATCGGCCTGCAAGTGTTCTGACGATCTGTGCTACCTCGTCACTTTGTCTTATCTGACCACTTCTTTTTCACTAACGCGTTGCTATTCCAAATCCAGCAATCAGATAAAAGTTACTTTTCCAAATCACTGTGCGTTACTATTTTCTTTAGTAATGTCATTTTATTTCCTCTGCGCGTCTCGTGGAGCGACCGCCGTTTCTACGGGACATTTATCAGCTGATCAGAAACATGAACAATGGAGGGAGGAGGGAGATGCGCATTTTATTGCTGGAAAATCAAGAACCATTTTGAGTTTCTGTCAAGTCCGATTCTTATAAGTGACTTTGGGCTTGTTTTTTCTTTTCTTTTTTTGTCTTTTTTTTAATAAAGTTGCTAGCAAATTTAATGAGTTGCGGTTTTTTGGGCTTGTTTTTGAACATGAAGTTGCTCATAAGCGGAGACACATAATAAGACCCAGATGTTGTCTGACATCCGGGTAGTTTTAGTCAGGCTCTCCCTGTCCACCATTTCTCGGATGAACAAGGAAATGTTGATCTGTGTCTTTGTTAATGTCCAGGTAATAGGTGTGCCGATCTATCGGCCACCGATCATAATCGGCCAATTTCCGTGAAAAAGTGTGTGATCGGTGATCGCCGATCACGGTTTCTTGTTGCAGATCACACAAACCGATTACCTGCATCTCATTTCGCAGCCTGCCTGTGCAGCTGGTCTCCTCTTTCCTTCACTCTGCGCAAACGCGCAACAACAAATCTTAAGCGATGTGCAACTATAACGCACTGAGTGAATGGGGAAGTTTGCGTGTTGCTGCGGAAAATTGAAGCACGTCAAAATGCATCAACACGAAGAATCTAATATGACATAAAAACAAAGCCATACTTGACGGAGTTTGGCTACATCGAGGCTCACTGCAGTAAAAAAAGACATATGGAGGATCAGATAGCAGGTAAAGCAACGCACAGCTATAAACACTCATCTGGATTAGCATGACGGTCAGAAAGCTAAACAAATAACCTGGAAAATTATTTAAGTCTTCGAGCTGCGATGTCAGACGCTGGTTCTGCTCTCCTGTTGAACCGCTGCTACGCTACAGGTAGTAATATCTGACAGACGGAGCTTCACTTCTGCTCCACCTGGTAGTGACTCTCACACCGAACCTGCTTAAAGCTGCAGCATCTAACCTAAAAAAAATACATTTTACATACGTATTAAAACTTTCGCTGTCCTAACATGAGACAGATAATCTCTGAAAAAATAATCGATCTCCTCCCTGTCCTGCATAATTACTCCACTCAGTCAGAAACAGCCAATCAGAATTAGCAGTAATCAGCTAGCCGCCATGCTATCAGGAAGTTTTCATTCAGTAACTCTGGATTGTTTATTGTAATGAAACCTGTATTTGAAGTACCTGAAGGCCTGGAAGTTGAAGACCAAGTGGTCCCTGTGGTCATCGGGGCCCTCGGGGCAGTCACCCCCAAACTGGAGCAGTGGCTACAACAGATCCCAGGAACAACATCAGACATCTCAGTCCAGAAATGTGCAGTTCTAGGGACAGCCAAGATACTGTGCACAAGTAACATTGGGCATAACTGGGGTTATGCCCAATGTTTGGAGGGGAAAATCCAATTCCTGCTATGTTTAGCTCAGAACTTGGAAAGCAAATTGTAAAGTGAGTGCAAAGACCATAAAAGTGCTCAGTGGTCAATGTTGTCAAATCGCCCTTAAGAAACTCATAAATAGGAGTCCCCTAAGGGCCCATATAGGGAATAGTTAATATGTAATGTATATATGTTAATGTGCAATTGTATGCCGATAACATAGTCATCTTTATTATAGCAAAATAACCCTGAAGAGGCAGCAAGAACTTGTTCCTTGTCCTTTGCACACACAGAAAATTAATTGAACTTATGCTAAATTTAGAAGGAAAAAATTCGAACACCATACACCATACTTTCTGGATGATGAAGAGCTGAAACTAGTTAAAGTCCTATCCTTAAAGACTCATATTAAGACCATAACTATCAAAGCATAATCTGAAAAGTTGACGCAGATATGGTGATTAAAAATGGTCAAAACAATCTACACATAACCGCTGTAAAGATCTAGATCAATATAAGATGTTACATTCGCCGGTTTCTGGCAGTTATTATTAGTTTTGGTAACCTTTGACCCACAGGATCCATGAATTTGTGAAATTATTGCAAATATAGTAAACAATCACAGACACACCAGTAACTTCCGCATCATAACCAGCCTATCAGGTCTCCTGTTTCTGGAGTATGAAGTGGTCAGAAATCAGCGATTCCTGCTGCAACACAATGTGAATATGTTCACCGTCAGTCGACAGCGCTGTGGTTGCTACTGGACGTGCCTGGAGACAGAACCTAAAAATGTAATACTGCTTCTGGTCTCATGAAGCCATGGACCGAGCCTGATGTTACTCTTCTTTGTAGAGCCTGTTATGTTTATCTTATAATAAAATGTCATGAAAATTTATATAAATATTCCCAGCATGGGTTTGACTTAAAGATTCATTCGGCATAATGTGAATGAGTTTTAAAGAATTGCAAATGTTTTCCTAGTTAAAGATGCAGAAGCAGCAACAAGAGTTCTCAGGTTCTCACGTTTTGTCTTTATGAAGAAGCCTAATGTTTATAAAGAGCAAATAAAAAGTTTTTTTTATTTAATTATGACACATCTTCCTCCCGGACCAAATAGGTAAGTCAGGGAAATAAGCTCTACTTAACAGCATAACAGCTGCTATTTATTTAATAATATTTTCAAGGTGACTTAAAACTCATTTCCTGACACAAGGAGTTTAATGTTAGCTCTTCTGTAAACCATTTAGGGACGTTAAATGCACGCTGGTCTTTTTATTATTTTTATTTTTAAGTTAGGAGGCGTCATGAGTTTTTCAGGAAACCCCTAAAGAAGGCATAAAAAACAAAAAAAGCACTAATTAGGGGCGTCAATAACATGTTTTCTGTTGCTTGATTTCATGTCTAATTAGTGTAGTATGTGTATTGCTGAGCTGGGGTGGCTAATAGCTACCGATTTGGGTTAAATTAAAAGTCTTTGGGGGGTTTTGTAAGAGTGGTTCTACACTGAACGTTGTTTTTTAAACACTTCTACATTAATTTTTGTTCTAACAAAAGAGCATTTTAACTTTGGAACCACTTTGAATTCAGAAAAGCGTCGACTAAAGATGGCAAACCTCTAAAAGAAAAACAAAACAAAATGTTGGCCACGTTTCTGTCGGCACTCGCATTGTTGACATACCATCCGAGGAAGAGGAGGAGGAGGAGGAAGACACCACAATGGCAGATCTGATCACACACAGATAGTAAACAAATGAAACATCTAACAGAAAGTGCTGCTGTTCGGGGAAGGAAGAGCATGTCAGCGTCTGTGCGGGAAACGGAGAGACATTCAGAGCCAGGAGGGCGGGACGGGGAGAGAGAGAGAGAGAGAGAGACCTGAAGCTCAAAGTGAACAACAGACCTGAGATCAGCGGCATTCCGCTGCCTGCTGAGAGAGAAGCGACTGGGAGCTCTTTCCAGTGAGAGCACGACAGGGGTGAGTTAATATTTTATTTAAAAATTAACTCAATTAAATTTGCTGTTAAATATTTGCTACACTTGTTTGGGTTGGCTCCAGATGGGGCCCACAAAGCGCCAGCAGTCTTTATTCTGTCGTCACGTAGAACAAGATTAGCGTGGTGGCCAGGAATTACTGATGGAAATGTAAAAGTGGCATAAATAAAATCCAGAGTGACCAAGTTTGTCTTTCAAAAGCAGATCGACAGTGAATAATAATAATAATAATAGTCACTTGGCTGCACCGGTTTAAAATATTTTAAAAAGGACAAAAAGACAATAGTTGTGTAAATTTAACCTTTCTTGCTCTGAAAATGTGTCAAACTTTGACACACCTGAATATTATAACTATTGTGTGTCCTTAAGCATGTTTCATAGACTCCTTCAGTGCATGGCTGCCCAAAGGCATTAGAGGAACATTACGGCTGCTTCTATAGGATTTGTCTGAGCCCAAACTGGAAGTCTTTATAAGTCCATAACTGAGTCATAACCTTTGTCCCCCAGTGGCTGCTTATATGAAACATTAAACGTCATCCCTCCACTTTGAATCAGACAAATCTATAATTGTAAGAGGCTTTCAGTTCAGATGAGTCCGTTGGTCTGCTTCGATGTGCCAAATAACTTTGAACAAACGTGAAAACTTTGGGACTTTTCTGGCTTTACCAACCTCAAATCAAATTCCTTAAGTTGCATTTAACGTGTTTTTACTGACTGACCTACAGCCTTCGTGTGCAATTCCAGGTTTTTCATAAACACCCAAGAAGCATCATGGAGTTCTTCAAGGACTGCTGCAAGAATTTCTCTCAGAGGAACAAGCAGGAACCGGAGACCCAAGGTCAGTACCAGGTCCGCCATCTTGTTTTTAGCTGATTTCACATCTGACTGTTTGATTTGTTTTGTTTTCATTTTTCTAAGTGATCAAAATAAAGGCGCCTCCCAAGGAGATAATGGTGACAGGAGAGCTGCTGGATGAGAAGAGTAGGATCGAGAAAGCGGAAGATTACCTCATTTCCAAGCAGCCTCCGGGCGGCAGAGAGGTCCCGTTTGTCGTGCCCACCTTCAAGCCCACTTACGTTCAACCCCAGAGCCGCCAGTTCTCTGCTCTGCAGCCTGGGCTGCACAGTACGTATCGGCCTGTTTGTATCAGTCATTAGAGCTACTTATTAATTGTGTGATGCGAGAGGATGATGACACAAATACGGGTGGTGACTGGTTCTAGTCCCTTTACAGACCAGCTAATGATTCAGTGTCCAGGAACGAATCTGGACTTTTGATGTTTGTTTTGCTCTACATGTGCAATTGTAGAGCAAACCAAAGGTGAAACCAAAGGTGTGACGTTAAGGCAGTTGCTTGTTTCCACTGAAGTGTCCAACTTAATTAGTCCTAAATACCTTGAGCTATTTCCTGTGCTATAATTACAATAGCTATAATTGCCTGTAGAAATCTTTCACCTGGCATTACGAGTTTGTAATGTCGGGTATGACATCAGGTATTTTAATGTATAACTACATTAAATACTTTAATTATTGTTTAATTCAGTACATTAACAACCCGACCCTGTAGTCCCTCTGTTTCTGTTGTATGTGGAAAATAGCTAAATGTGTCTAGTTTTTTTAAATTTATTTTTATGTTTTTAGCTACAGCATCTAAAGTGAAGAATGTTGTTGTTAGCATGGCCTGGTAGCAACCCCAGCCTGTTTGGTGCCCAAAGCTAACAAATCCCCCACCCATTTTAATTTCATATGAAAAACTTGAAAAAAAACTAAATACTTTAAACACCCATATCCAACCATGAAATTAAAAGTATACAATACAAATACAAAAATAAATAAATTCTATTGAAAAATTACTACCTGTGGTGCATTCACTGATTGGAAAATTTATTTATTTATTTTGACGAGCAAATTTCTTTCTGCATCTTTACTTTTAATTGGGTGAATTTTGTTGTTAAAAAAGTTAAGGTGATGGTGTGTGACAGGTATTTTGAAAATCCTAATTAAAATCAGCTTAAACATGGCTGTAATTTCCTAATGTAGACATTGTAGCAATAAAACCTTAAGGTTACCTTAAACTAAAGGTTTAAGTTTAAGGACTGAGGCAGGCAAATTGATTAAATCAAAGCAAGACAGACTTCCAACATCTCTCCTCTGATTTGTAGGAAAATGTAAGAAGGCCCAATCTTGTCGCTAACTTCCTGTGAACCTTATTTGCCGCTGTGCCAGCACAACACGCTCCTCTACGCTCAGTGGACTTATTTTTCTCCAACTCTTTGTCCGCAGGCCCAGCCAGGTCCACGTATGCGGGGAGGAAAGCGGAACTGCTGGGCGCCAGTTTCTTCCCGTACAACTCGGAGTCCATCTTCCATCAGGGCAGCATGCCGGCGTACATCTCCCCCGGCCCCGCCCGGCGAGACGCGCTGAAGAGCAGCCCTCAAAGCCCAGGTAGCGCTCGGCCCGCACAGCGGTCCAAACGGATAAAACTTGAGCCTCCCTCTGAGGTCGGAGCCAAGAAAAGCAGCACCTCGTTATGTAATGTGTTGATTCACTCTTTAGGCTCTTTTATCAGTTTGTGGACACAACATCAAACCTTTTCACGCTTGTTACATCACACTGCTAGCAATAAGAGGAGTCATTAAAGGTTTAGCTTGCCGCTACTTATAATAAGTCAAAGATTAAATTAAGACATTGTGACCATTTTGAAATTATTTAATAATGTAACAGTGTAAATGTGTGTAATTCAGTTCATCACCGGTTCTGTATTGAAATCAAAGCAGCTTGATTGGTAATGGTTTCGTCCTCCAGGTCGGACTCTGAAGCCAGGCGTCCAGCGGCGCCTGAGCAGCTCCATGCTTGACCTGTCCAGCCCTCAGAGCCACATCCAGGTGAGACTGTTTGCTTTTAATCTAATCTCTTTTCACACCTTTGTTTTTTTCCTTACGTTCGTGTGGAACCAGACTAAATATAGTTGCAAAGTTTGCTCAGCTCCGTACTATAGCTAAATATCGCAAATAACTCTTATTATGTGGACAGAAGGGCAGATATGATTAGCCTCAATTTATAATAAATGTTTAAGATTTTTTTTTTAATTACATAAATATGCCTAAATTAGAAGAACAACAAAGGTGGAAAAGCAACACATGTTCAACTTGCAACTATTTTTCAAGTATTGTATGTAGCTAGACCAATTAGTTTAGCTTATTTAATGATCCCATTAGTCCCTACCATAGTAGAGACTATTCTTCCACAGACATTGTAATAAAATTACAATATTACAGCCATTACAAAAAAGACATCACAAAAAAACAAACCCAAACAAACATATAAAAATAAAAAAACCAAAGCACAAATCAATAACCACAACAATTTCAAAGAAACCTAAAGATGAGCAGAAGCAGCAATCATTCCTCCTGTGGTGTTCAAATTTTTTGCCATGAAGGAAATAATCTTTAAGTTGAAACCACAAAAAGACATTTTGATTCCCAAATCAAAATGTTTTTGGTTCCATTTGCTCCCATTATCTTGATGTCAGCACACGATATGTAGTATATTTTAGCCATAATTGTGCAGCGTATTGATGACTCTGGTTTCATTTCCATTAGACATATTTCACTTTCTAACTGTGTTTGGCCTCTTCAGCGAATTGACTCCACCTCCAGCACCGTCAGCAGCGCCTCCTCCATGATGAGCTCCATGGAAGGCAGCCTGGGTAACCATTTCATTCCTTTAGATCTGGTTCTCCTTTTTGGTTTGATCACTTAATAAATTCAGTCGAACTGCGTTTCTGAAGAAGACGTGGGATATTTTTGCAAACAAACCCAGCTTGACTTGGTCTGAAAAATTAAAATTCACCTAAAACTTCTCGGTAACCTTCTATGTGCTCTAAGACCAACGAGGTCTCACGGCTGGGTTTGGCAAATTCTGAATATTTTACAAATATTCACGTCGATTCTTAAATCCACATTTTACATCGCATCATACAAAAGAAGGAAACTTTGTATAAGACACGTTCCAAATAAGTTTTTCCATCTCAACTCTAATCAGCTCACATATCAAAACTGATAGAAAGCATCCCCACAGCATGATGCTGCCACCACCATGTAGCACAAGGGTGATGTTTCTGTTTCAGAGGCAATTTGACCTCATCTGACCTGTCAATGTGCTTTCTGCTAATTAGACGACTTCTGAAGACTTTTAAATTCGCACTTTTCAGATCTTTATTTAGTAGACATTTTGAAAACGATGCTTCATTTTTACTTTTGCTTCTGAGTTCTGTCCCACTTTAAAAAATCAACATTAAAATACATTATTTTTGCAGTAAAATAATAAAAAAATAAAAAAAAAATTTGAAACTTTGCACGCTTTCCCAAACATCCCTCCTATCCCCCACTTCACTGACTCAACCGCATCACGCTGAAGTGTCGTTCTTCTTGATTTCCAGAATCCATCGCTTTGTCGGGGGACGAGCAGGACCTGGGGAAGGTCTGTGTGCGGATACGATACCAGCAGGACGTGGAGCAGGTGTGGATCACCCTGGTTCAGGTACGGTTACGCTCAGCCCAGACCCGAGTGCCTCAGGTACTGAAGGCTCCACTGTTCTCCCCGCCAGCTTCCCTCAATGGAGCCTTTGTGTGTCCACAGTGAGGGTCTCTGTGTGCCGCCATCTGTGCTCCATCAAGTTTGGAGCAAAGGGTTGCTGCTGGTTTTTCTTTTCTAAGTTTAGATTGAAGTTTTTAAAAAAGCGACTCCACGGAAGCGGTCGCGCGCTTAAAACGCAATACTTGCTTTAAAAGCCTAATGCATAGTTGGGCACAAACTCCTGATCAAAACGGAGCCAAACAAAGATGAAAGGCACACCTGATTCCCACCTGTGATTGGGGCTTGACATTTTGTGGGAAACTTCTTCCTTTTTCCCCCCTCCTCTGAACATAATTGAACACTTATTGTGTTTCTAAGCACTTAAACCTGTTAATAAAGCTGCTGTTTTGTGTTGTCTGGCTCAGTGTTTGGACCTCGTCGTCTTCAATCCAGATGAAGAGCAGGAGGTTGGCTTCAAAGCAATCCTCACCGTCCCCAAACCCATCCAATTCAAGACCACAGTCAAAGAGTATGACCAGGTACTGACGCTACCGAACGCTAAACACTTGCATGAATACCAGCTTGATTGTTGCACATGTTTCATGTGCAACAATCATGGAAACATTCACTCCTTATTTTTTCCGATTGGTAAAGTTCCAACTACAAAAATCAGAGCATTTTTATTGGGATTTTATGAGATAAACCAAGACAAGCTAAGCTAAGTAAACTGAGAAGCAGCCAAGAGCCCAGTGGACACTGTGGAGGAAACCATTATAAAACAACCTTAGCATTTAAGCACTCAAATCTGGCATTTATGGAAGAGCACAAAGGAGAAACGATTTTTAAGAAAATCTGAAAATGAGTCCCGTTTTTCTGCAAATATGTGGGAAAAGAAGCACTGAGACACATCAACCTGGACATATCAGTCCTTCAGTGAGGTTTGGCGGTGGCAGTATCATACTGTGGGCTTGTTTTTCTTCAGCGAAGACAGAAACGCTGATCAGAGTTGGCAGGAAGACGGATCGAGCTAAACACATAGGAAAAAAAAAAACTCCAACAACTTAAGATCGAAAGTCTTCAACTAAATCCAGTTGAGACTTTAAAAAGGTGTTCGCCATCCAATCTGACTTTGAATTTCCAAAGAGCAGTGGGCAAAATTTTTACTTTCTAGGCGTGCAAAATTGGTAGAAACCTTCCTTAAAGCAGCGAACAGCGATTCTACAAAGTACAACTCCGATTGGGTCTGAGTAGTCATTTTATTTTCATTTTACAACCATGTAGAGCTGAAACGATTAATCATAATTAATTGATTATTGAAATAATCATTAACTAACTTAGTAATCGATTAATCGTTAACTGGAGTTTACAGACTCCAGGAAAAAAAGGCAGTTTGGTAAAAACTAAACATATTCAGTAAATAAGCAGTAAATAATCCAAAACTGTACAAAAAATATATTCAATTTGAACTTAGGATTAAAAAAAAAACACCTTCGTTTGTAAATAATAGCCAAAACTTCTCAAGTGACAGTTTTAGATTCACTCGGTTCAGATTTACCGTTATTGCATTTTATTCACTAACGTTTTTCTTTTTAAAAAAAGTGATTTAATTATTTATTTGCATCTTTCCGTATTTTCTAATATTGTATAAGAAAAAAGGCTTAAGTGCTTGTACGAAAAATCTGTAGACATTTTTCTACACGATTAATCGTCAGAATAATCGATTGCTACAATAATCGTTAGCTGCAGCCGTAGAACTATGCACTACTTTGTGTTGGTCTACTGCACACAGACCCAGCCTAACACATTAAATGTCGTGTTTGCAAAGCTGAAAAAAACTGGCAGAAGTTCAAGGTGTATAAATACTTTAGCAAGGCAGTGCGTGATGGAGCTACCTGTTCCAGAAGAGAGTAACTTTGCGTAACAGCCATCTTAAATGACTCACTTTTAACTTCTTGAGGCGACAGGATGATTTCTCACCTGCTCTGCTTTGCTTTCAGAATGTCGTCTTCATGGAGACTTTTGTGTTCACGCTGCGCCTGCAGCAGCTGCAGTGCAGCGCTTTGGTGCTGCGCCTGCAGACGCACATCCCCAGGAAACGCACGACGGCCGAGTGTGTCCTCTCCCTGCGCCAGCTCGGTTCCCAGGAGTCGGAGCACTGGCTTCACCTCAGACAGCCCTCCAAATCCACGGTATGGCGTCGCCGCTTTAGTGATGTTTTGGGGGTTTTTTAATGGTTTTTAATGTTAAAAAAATGTATAACTTCACTGCAAAAAAAAAAAAAACTAACTTACAAGCAACTTTTCGGCAAGATATGAGAGCTTGTTTTAAATCAATAATTTATTAATATTGATGAAGACATTCTAGTTCCACTGGTAGATTATTTCACTTATAACTGGTACCTTTTCATCAACATTAATGAATTATTGACTTAAAACAAACTCGTATTTCTTCCTAAAAAATGACTAATGTCAGTTTTATCTTTATGTACTTCAATATTTGTACTAGAAACTAAACTAGACTTGTTTTCCATCAATTACCAAGCGTTGACAAAATGCCCTCGTTCATTTTAAATGCTTTGACAGGGTAAGTAGTTGGTTTTTTGCTGGAAAAATGTTCTAGTAGCAAATATATTTTTGTCTGGTAAATGGTCGGAAAAGAAACGTAAAGAATAGAAATACCCAAGAGTTCTTCTTACAGCTTTTGTTCGAGCCGCACCAAACACAGACAGGCTGTGACTGTTTCTCCAGTGTGCTAGCACAAACAACGGGAAGCCGGTCGAGGTGGCTGCCTCGTCACAAACGAAACACAAAAAGGTTCATTTCGAAGGAAAATTGTGGTGCCGACTTTATAGGAGAGAAGAAGAAACCAGAGTTCAGACGCTGTAATTTGAAGGGATGAGAAGTAGGTCAAACCTGGAACCATTTCCCCAACAGAGAGCCGTTTCGCTGATAAATGGAGGCCCGTCTGGCCGGTGGCAGTTGTTTTTGTACTTAGGAGATCAGACGGTGACTCATCAGCGGGTCCTCAGCGGGATTCACTCTGCGAGGACCCGTCTGCCGGACACAAAAGAGAAAAATTGTTCAAATCACCGCCATTGTGGAAGCTTTTAGAGGCCACGGCTGATTGCTAAGCACAAAAACAGAGAAGAAAAGGAATAAGTAATGTTTTTGGTTACAAGAAATGTCTGTTTTATACGCTGGGAAGCCTTCTACATGTGTGATATTGAGTGAAGAATTTATCTTCATTTATTTATGTTTAGGAGTATTTTGAGTCATATTTTGAACACGATAAAGACGTCGGCTTTCTTTTATCTTTTTGCATATAGATTGGTCGCAAAGGATTTTATTTTTGAAAGCTGGCTGAGCACGTTTTTCAGATTCTGTTATGCACTTAATTTCTATTGCTCTGACATGTAAAGTCCCAATAAATACCTTGAAGTTTTTTTTTTTTTTTATAAAATGCGAAAAGTTTAAAGGGTGTAAAATAAACATGTTCCACCACATCTCACTACCGCTGAGGCGAGGAGCGGCCATTTTGGAACAAAAAAGTCTCGTGACTGGTCTTCGTGGTAAATCCCAAATCCGATTTCAGAAGGCGTTCCAGTTTATTCTTCCGACTGGGAACGTGAAATTTCGAAGTTCCGAGTACAACTAGAACGCAGTTATTAAAGGGCTAACTTAAACAAAAACCAAAAAAAAACAACAAAAAAAACAAAGTGTGAAATAATCAATGTAACTTTATTTATGTGGGTTAAAGCACAGCCAACTGAAACATGCCAGTAAAAGCCTGTCAAGAAATGAGTCGTGTGCTTGTACAGGCGTTTCACTCCGAGCTACACCTCAGCACCCTCTTTCAGCCAGTCAGCGGACGCATCCAGGTCAAGATCCTCGCAGCCCAAAACTTCCCACCGTCTTCCTCTCCCCTCTCCCAGGGTAAGCGCACCTGCATTTTCAAATAGTCATTAACTGAAATGATCAACGAGGGGATTGATGTTCAGCTGTTTCTGTCGCCTCCTCCAAAGTGTTTTTCGTCAAAGCCGAGATGCACCAGTTAGGCCAGCTGGAAATTAAGAAGAAGACCCGAGCGCTGAAGGCGTCCGGCGGTGAGTGTCGCTGGGAGGAGACGTTTCACTTCCTGTTGGCGTCGCTGGAGCACCCCTGCTCGCTGTCGCTGAGGCTCTACAGCCGCAGCTCCGTCAGGAGGAAACAGTGTCTTGGACAGGTAAGCCTTGAAGGCTGTGTAAATATGTAATTTCCTCAACTCGTGACGTCCTTTAAACTTTTTATTGTGAGGTTGGGCGTTGACATTACTGCCAGTATGGCTTAGCAGCTTTTTTTTTTTTTTTGTATGTTGCTGCTTGTAGATTCTTTAATTTTCCCCGTGTAAAGTGTTTAGCTTGTTGCTTTATGTCTTTGCTCGGTGATGGTCGTGGGGTAGACTGTCAGAATAAGAGCCTGTGTTTGATCTGAAACAGTGATTAAGCTAGTGGTAGGCGTCTTTAACATTTTCATTCATTTTGTCACATTACTACCCCAAATTTCCATGTATTCTATTGATATATTGCCAGGAGAAAAAGAAAAAAAATTAAATGCATCTGGTTTTGTCTTGAACTGATGAATTGACCCTCTTCTCTCTGTTTGGTTTCAGGTTCAGCTGGGCTTCGACAGTCCTCTGCCAGACGCCGTGGAGCAGTGGAAGGACATGATGGCTCACCCAGAGAAAGTGGTGACAGCCTGGCATCGGCTGAGTCCTCCCTAAACCCGCCGTCCCCCTCCGGCTGTGAGAGTTTCACTTTTAAAAACGGCAGACGCCCAGCTCCTGTGGTTGGTTGCTCCTCCGGTCCACCGCCGCCGTACCCTGAGCCGTCTGCTTACAGCCCAGACTCCACGCCGCAGGGTGACGATCCTGGAAGAGAGTCGAGATGTTCGGCGAAATTCTGTAGATAGAGGATTCGCACAAAGTTTTAGAAGATGGGGAAGAGGGGGGGGCGAAGGAGAGACATTTCTGGAAAAAGGAAGCTATCTTTTTTTTCTTTGTAGGTCAGCTCACTGCTTCTGGTGAAAACTTTGCTGCGGTTCACTTAGATCTGTGTTTACAAAAGTCTTCAATTTCTATTAGTTGGCTGCTGAAGATCTGCATTTTTTTACTGCTCAGTGAAGTTTGAAGTATTTAGAACAATTTTTACTTGTTGGTCTTTTTTTGTTTTTGAGAGAGAGCCAAGCTAATCAAAGCTCAGAGCCTGAAAGAAACGAAGAGGAAATATACGGAAGCCTGAACAACCCAAGTTTTAAAAGTCAGAAAGATGTGCACTTTAATTCGCAAGGCACTTTTGACATTTGGGGCAGTGGCATTTGCAGTGCCTTGAGAAAGTTTTCACACCACCTGCCCATATTTTGTCACTACATAACTATCTTCAGTGTATTTTGATGAGCTACTATTGGATATGTTGTCATTTTTTAGGTGAACCTAATAAATGTTTCCTCGCAGCTTTGCTGTCCATGAGGTAAGCATCCCCACAGCATCATGCTGCCACCACCATGTTTCACCATGGGGATGCTTTTTGAATCTAGGTTGATTTGCAAGGGATTTTTATGAAGGAAAGTGGGCTTAGTGCACATTTCAGATGTAATCATGCATCTCATTGTGTTGCTCCGTCACGTAAAGTCCTAATAAAATACGTTGTTGTGATGTGACAGAATGTAAAGTGTGTGAAAACTTTCACGTGGCAGTGTAGATTTTTGTTTTTCTTGCCTGTCAGTGAAAGCTTAGAGTCCATTCTCGGTTGTTGAGACGACGGCTACCATCTCTGAAGCTGATGTCGTGTGTTTTTTTGTTGTTTTGTCCTTATAAGGCACTTTATCTTCTTGTATTTATCGTAGTTATTTTTAAAATGTAGGGATTTGTTCAGAAATGTGAAGTGTAATCACTGAACCAGTTCACTTGGTTGATTAAAAATGTGATGTGAAGAAATGCAAAACAACCTCAAGTCTCTTTAAGATTTTTACAACCGTGGCAAACTTGAGAATCTGTAACTTACGAAGGGCTTCAGAAAACGTTTGTCTTGCACAACTCTGGTTTGTCAGCTGAAACAGGAATGTTCCCTGTTCAGTCCAATAAAGCTTTTGGACTGACTGCTTTGTTCCGTGTAACCAGCTGTGGACTCGCAAACACACACACACACACACACACACACACACGCACCCTGAGAACAATAAGCCTGTAGACTCTGGAAAGCGAGTCCTCCGGCTGTTTGCGTGTGACCAGGACAACCGGGCGCCCCACGTGGGGCCGACCTGCGTCAGTGGCCTCCGTATCCTGGTGTGGCAAAACACCGTCTTTATTTGAAAAAAAAAACCAATAATGTTTGATTAATGGTTAATGTAACACAGAAGGAATACCAGACACGCCTTAAGATGTGTACAGAAGGCTGTTATATCGGAGAGTTATGTTTGACTCTCACTCAAGAAGGCGCTTGTCCGTATCGAAGCAGTCAGTGTGAGTTTTTTTTAGGGGCAATTGCCTGCTCTGTGTGTTCAACAGATTCTTTTGGGTGCTTGCCAGCTAGAGTCTGCAGCTTATTCCCGTTTCCTCAACTGGGAAATGGAAAACTGTAAAAGGGAGGAGGAATGTTCTGGAAACCTCCTGGTGATTTTCATCAAATTGAGCTTTAGTAGACCAGATGAGAGTCCCAAAACTGTTGGAGGGACATAAAATAATACAGTAAAAGTGACTTGAGCAGCAAGAAATAATAAGATTCAACGTTTTTGATCTCTCCATGATCTTTGACTGTTAAAATAAACCAAACTGTGTCTGATATAATAACAAGCAAAAGAAGAAATAAAAGATTACTTTAAAAGTAAAAACAAGACAGAGTAGAAGATTACGCTTCTTTGTAGACAGGTGTAATTGTCTACTTTCTAGAATTAATTTTTGCTCATCCTGACATTATCCAAGTTTAATTAGTGGAACACTGTGTCAAACTAACTCCAATTGAAAAAAAGGGATTTTCTAAGGTATGTGTGGAATTGGTTTGTGGTTGCACTGCCTGCCGCTTAAGACAAGATACTTAATTTGGGATGGAACTGCAGTCTATCTGAGCAAACTTTAAGCTAGTTCAAGCTAATGCTAACACTTTTTCAATATTATCTTACAACGTCTCGTCCAAATACTGCTGGCCGTGGGGTTTTACCCACAACCACCTGCAGACACCTGGAGAATCTTCTGATAGATCCATCTGTCTGTCAGGATCATCTCTCAGTTATCCACCATCATCAGTTTCAGCTGATGATGGAGTCCCACAGGACTGTGTGCTAAGCCCCCTCCTCTACTCATTACAATCACACAAATGTATTAACACAAAATTTTGGCATTAATTATGCACACATAGATATTCCTCTTAAAATACCAAAATGTTGTTTTTACTTTAAATATACAGGTATGAAGTTTGACTGACAGAAAGAATCCTCTGTAAAAGAAGTTGCCTAATTATTGCATACATGGGGTTTATTGTGTGGTTATTAGTTATTAAGACGTTACCACATATGTAGGAGTGTTTTATGTAATTAATTGGAGCATTTCTTTAAGTGGTGTAGTGATTATTGCACATACTGCACAGCTTTTCTCTCTCTGTATGTGTCAGTGTTGCTTGCGGCACATTTCAATAAAAGTTGGGACAGAATCGAAGGTAGAGTCGGCACTTATGCAACAAAACGGAATGAGAACAGATAGTCGTTGCTTAATTGTTAAGGAATTTCTTTTTGGCGCCTTTAGAGTCCCTTACAAAAATATTCATACTCTTTGGACTTTGTCAGATTTTTCCCACATCACAGTTAAAACTTTTGTGAAATTTATGATGGTTGTATGTCATAGACGTACAGAAAGTGGGAAGCTGTAGCAAGAAATTGTTTTAAAAGATGTTTACAAATAATATTCCTAAAATATACCGCACATTCGGACTCCTCCCACCTTTTCTCTAACGCCCCTAATAAAATCTAATGTAAACAACTTATTTTGGAAGTTATCAAACCAGTCTATACAGTCTAATTATGCAGTTATCTTGGTATGCAACCAGCAGCTATTTTAAGGTCTTGTTTGGTCGAGAACTTTTATGAGCAAAGGTCATGTTGAGGACGAAGGAACACAGCAGACAAGTTGGGGTTAGCTTGTAAGACAATAACCTGAGAATTGACTGAAAATGGCACAACCAAGACATGACGGTTCATGTAGGATGAAATTAAACAAATAATCCTGGATATAAACTGAACAGCTGTGGTTTTTGTTGAGGTATTATAGGTACAAATATCTGTACACAGTTTAATGACAGAGTAGCATTTTCTTCTTCTTTCACTTCTTTTTATGCATGGAATGTGACAGCCCTGGGCTCCAGGGCTGGGCTGCAGGTGTTTTTGTCTGTCTTTGTGCTCCTCCCCTTTGCAGGTGTCTGATCCATTGATTGGGAGCACAGAATATTTGAACCTGGCTGTCTCCACCTTCTGGTTCGCCTTTATGGGGTTCCATTTGTGTCAAAAATAAGTAGAAAGTTATGTGTAGATGTTGTTTGTCCATGTCGTTGCTATGTGACTTTAGTTGATGTCTGTGGTCTTAGTGCTTTATGGATATATCGATGTTGCATGTAGATGTTGCATATGTAGGTGATGCGTATGTTAGATATTGCATATGTCTATGATGCATATGTATTCGCTCCATATGTACATGTTACATATGTCTCTAGCTGCGTTGTGGTTATATTACTCGCTGTCATCTTGTCAATTCATCTGCAGTAAAGCAGTGAACCCTTCGCAGTTGTTTTTTATGTAATTTCTGTGACTGGTCAGTGTCATTGGTCCGTGCTGTTGGTTCATGTAGTTGGTCCTTGTCGTTGGTCAGTGTTGCCTGTTCTCTTCGCCATTAATAAGTGTTGAAGTAGGTCATGTCTGATCAAAGTGTTTATTAAATATTACAAAAATGTTGGTCTTTCAATATTAGCGTTTTCAAAATGCTTATATTTCTACTTTGTATTTTACTCATGCATTAACCTAAGGTTGTGAAGAGTTCACTGCTTTACTGTATATATACCAACAACATCTACACGAGTGCTACTTATTTTTGACACAAATGGAACCCCACACTCCGCGGCTCCGTGATAAAGCTTTAGATGTGATGATCGCATGATCCACAAGGTGGCGGTAATGCAATGACATGAATACCCGACAGTCATAAAATCCCAAAGAAGAAGAAGACAAAGAGGACGGCACGTGGTCTGTTTTGTTGCATGCTCCAGTGTTTCTCTAAAAAATATCTTCAGTCCAGCTTAAACGAGTTTATCTACGAGTTTACTGCTGCTGAAGAAACATTCACAGAGTTTAAAGACATCATCGTCAAGTCGGAGGAAGAGATGGATGATCAGCGCAGACTGCTGGATTTCTCCCGGACTCCCCGGATAATCTTACACCGAATAGGTAGGAAACACCAGCGTTTGGATGAAGGTTAATGTCTAAATATCTGAAGCTTTCTGTATGAGAATCATGTTAGTAACTGTTCCCTTCCCGTATAAATGTTTCGTTAACAGGTAAATGAAAGCAGACATCACAATTATGCTACGAGAATGGCTTAAATATGTAGAGGCCCAACCCAGTGCATGCTGGTCCGATACCAGTCCCTATACTTACAGAAAATGGAGCCTCAGTTCTTCCTGTCTAACTTAGAAAAGTAAATAATAAAGGAACAAAAGCTAAACAACTATCAACCTACAAATAAACTCATGTTTGTAAATAAACCCCAAAGATATAAAATGGACTAAAATTAAATTTTAATATAATTCGAAGTAATAAAAATTAATAATAGCTCCAAATAAATATCATGAAATAATCCGATTTGCTGTTAAATATTAACAATAATCTCTACTACAATTAATTTTGTAATAAATAAAAAATACTTTTTTTATTTTTAATGATTTTTTTATTTTATTTTCATCCAGACTCTTGTTGGGGTAACTTTTTCCCACCACAGTAGCTATAAAATTTAACAATTTCTAATCAATAAATTGTGGTGGTGATTGTTTGTCAAACCAAATATCCTATAAAAGTTCAATCAACAAGCCACCGCTGCACTGAGGTGATGCTTCGTACACAGGTAAAAGAAGTTCAATGTCCAAAAAACTTGAAAATCGTTTTTATGGTTTATTTTTTACAGTTTGACAAGCAAATAACAAAGATCAAGCTTTTCATTAGTGATGTGTCGATTAATCCAGGAGGATTTTTATGAAGTTCGTAAAACAGAGAACTCACCTGAACCCGAGCAGTTAAAGGTTTTTATATTTTAGTAATCAATCATTGTCCCTGGTGACGTAGTGAGTAACAAGCCAATCACAACTCTTTCTCTCCTATTTGTTTCCAGTTGTATTTTTTATCCAGCCATTGTTTCATACAAAAAGATTAATCAGAATTTATGTATCAGAATCATAAACATGTTTTACTTGTTTATTCATCGTAAGGCTTCATGTTGTTTTCACGTTGCCTATTTTACATATATTGTCCCCTTGATGTCACAGTGGAGCATATGAAGCACCGCGATGCATCGGCTCAAGAGTCCAATGATTGGATGGAGTTCCTCGGTGCTTCAAGAAGCTTCATCTCACCATCACTAATTTTTAGAGATGTGCCGATCAGGTTTTTTCCTCCTGATACCAATACCGATCACCCATGAGGGCCGATCACCGATAC